AGAATGAAGACACGGACATCTTTGAGGGGGTATTATTCAGTCTACCACGCTGCCCAATACAGATTAGGAGATTAATAAATTCTCCTTTAGTTTACTTAACTACCATTCCTCTAAGTGTGCTAATATTTTAAATCAAAGCGTGAAAGAAATTCTACATAACCATTCCTTTTCCTTTTCCCTTTCTATTTCCAATAATTGGGTCTTTTGCTAATCACTTGAAACTTACATTTGTGGCAGATATGAAAACGCACTTGAACAGTTGAGAAATACAGAAATATGTGATTTCAGTTGCCAGCTCAATCTCTTCTTGTTAAGCCTCAAAAACTTGACATTTGAAAGAGAAAAGCCATGTAATAATACCACTTTGTAAAATGTTCTTCCAGTTTGGGAACATGGGATTTTATTTACAAGTTTCCAAATGTCCCCTCATCAAGCTTTAAAATAGGAAGTCAAATACAAAAACTTGAGTTTCTTGGAAAGGACAGTGACAAGGATTCTCTAATTCTTTACATGCTCTTTGAGAAAATGTTTAAACAGAAAAAACAAATGATGGCCTTTCTGAGTTAAAACAGTTCCAACTGCTTCAACAGATCACTGCACAAGAATGAGCAACCACTTATTGAAATTCTGCCTACTGGAAGCACCTCTAGTGCCCTCTTGCTCATGGAAAAGTCTGTAATATTAATCAGCTTTGGCTTTACAAAAGCTAGTGCCAAACATAAAAAGCTCAGTGCTGAGACAATGTGATCCCCACGTGAGAACGGCACCAGTGAATCCCTCACGTTGTCTGGATGGCCCCAGTGACTCCAATCCCCTTCCACCAACACTCTCTCCTTCTCTGTTGCCCTGTTCTTGGATGTCTAATCTACAGTGAACTCCACGAACTTCTGAGTATCTGGAGTTGGTGTTAAGTAACTAGACATGTTGAGGTATGGCCACAGGTCCATAATCCTTTATCTGAAAATCTTGGCAGCCATGTTTTCAGAAGTTGAGGATTTTTAGAAAAGAAACACAGTAAATACTGTACATTAAGTTTATCACACCCAATGGGGGTGGGTCAGTATCCCTTAATATTTCTGCAGTAAAACAGATAAATATCCTCACTAAGCAAAATGAACTGAGATGATATTAAAACTTTGCCATCAACTCAGGTCAGCTTTTGTTGCCTACTTTGTTTTAGAATTAAACTCAGTAAAAAAGGATTCAATATTCAGAATCTTTTGGATTTTAGAATTTCAGAGAAAGAATTATGGACCTACATTACAAGGTGTTGTTGTTTACCACCCAAATGGAATCAGTAAAAACTCCAAACTCCTAGAATCATAGGCTAGAACAGTGGCATGAGTTTTAGTAATGTAGTGCCTCCACCTCGTGTTGCTATCAGGGAATTGTAGCACAAAGCATGTGTGTGTGTGTGTGTGTGTGTGTGTGTGTGTGTGTGTTGGGCGCTCAGTCGCATCCGGCTGTTTGCGACCCATGGACTGTAGCCTTCCACGTTCCTCTGCCCGTGGGATTCTCCAGGCAAGAATACTAGAGTGGGTTGCCATTCCCTTCTCCAGGGGATAGTCCCGACCCAGGGATTGAACCCAGGTCTCCTGCATTGCAGGCAGATTCTTTACCATCTTGGCCTCCAGGGAAGTCCAGCACAAGCATACAAGTGGTTTCATGATGTTGTAAGTGTCTCTGGAACCTTACGCTTTTGACATGAGACAGAACTAGGTTGAAGTCAGCTCTAACTAAATGTGTTGTCTTGGCAAATTTATGCCCAGCTTTACACCCCAGATTACCATGATTCCCTCTGTTTAGGGAAAGCCCTCCTCACTCACAGGGCTGTTAGGAGCATTGACTCAGCAAAAGCAGATGCAGTGCTTGGCACAGGGAGCGGCACATAATAAACACTCAATAAAAGTCAACCAGTGCAATGGCAGCCCACTCCAGTACTCTTGCCTGGAGAATTCCAAGGACAGAAGGGCCTGGTGGGCTATAGTCCATGGGATCACAAAGAGTCAGACACAACTGTGCAACTAACTAACTACCCTTAGAGTGATCTCTATGATGGTTATTGATCTAATTCAGTTAAGTGTTTACTGAATTCCTCCCTGCAGAGCACTGTACTAGGTCACAGGGGTGAACAAGGCAGACATATCTGCCCATTACCCTGTAAACAATTTCAGGGATTCTCATATTTCTGTTAAGAGTATGGAGCACTGTCCCTGACACAAAGCAGACACTTGATATACATTTCCTGGGCTGAATTAAACACAAAGTGCTCACAATCAAGAAGGGGATTTAATAATGCCAAGAGTGAAGAATGTAAGAAATATTCTAAGAGTTTCTCAAAGCACTATGAGAATTTAAAGAAAAAAAAAATTTTTTTTGTCCTGAAATAGGGACTGTAAAGAAGAGAACACGTTTGTGCTAGACCTTGCGCTGTGTGCTGTGCCTAGTCCTTTAGTCGTGTCTGACTCTTTGCAACTCTGTGGACTGTAGCCCACCAGGCTCCTCTGTCCATGAGGATTCTCCAGGCAAGAATACTGGAGTGGGTTGCCATGCTCTCCTCCAGGGATCTTCCCAACCCAGGGATCGAACCCAGGTCTCCCGCACTGCAAGCAGATTCTTTATCATCTGAACCACCTGTGCTAGACCTTAAACGTATACAAAACATTGCACAGGTATAGTCGGGAATTTTTTTTTAAAAGTCATTCCAGGCAGGAGGAAGAACTTAAAACTTTTTCTTCAAAAGTGGAAAATTACATAGCATGTTTAATAAGTAGTGGGTTATGTGCTTAGGGCATTGTGTGGAGGAATTGCATAGATCATATGCATGGGGGAATTTCAGCCTGGAATGCCTCAGAGGTGAGTCAAGACTAAGTCAAGTAAAACCTGAAATGATATATGAAGGAGTTTAGATGACTAAAAAACTTTTATGTTGCTTTGTTTTAGCAGGAGATGATGCAAGCCAGCATGTCTTGAGCCAAGCTTTTGGAAAATTGCTGTGGTAGCATTTTGCACGAAGGATTAAAGGACAAAGAAAGAGAGTGAGTGTAGGTATATCCGTCAAGGGCATATCAAAAAGCCCTTGATGAGGATGATAAACATCTAAACCAGGGCAAGGAGAGAGAAGATGACTGGAGCGGGCAGGGGGAAGAAGTTAAAGAGGCATAAGAAGAATGGATCAGATTTGGCAACTAGTAAGATGTAAGAAGAAAAGAAAAAAGAAGACTCAAAGATTACTCTTAGCTTTTAATCCGTGAAGGCTATGAGGGTGGCAAACAAAAGAGAGGGTACAGATGATAGACTAAGACGGTGGGAAATGACAAGTTAATTTTTAAACTGAGCAACAAATTACCTCCTGTTCAAAGTCAAAAAATAAAACTGGCCGCTGATGCCAAGAAAGGAGACCTGTAACCAAGAGCAGTTAAAAGCAGGGCCTAATGTCTTTAGAATCCAGTCATGGGCCTGCTAAACTTGTATGTTCCTTATCTGGGGGAAGCGACTTGAAAGCCATGGTGTGGTATATCCGTAAGCTGGGCTTCCGTTTCACAATGCAGAGGTTTGCCTTCACCGCTACACAGAAAGCAAGTGCACAGGTCCACCTAGAAGCTGTTATCACAGACTGTTCTCACTACATTTGTTGTTGCTGTTGTAGGAAAGCAGATAACTTAATCAAGAAGAACCTCTGTTTCAATGCTGTCTCTTTGAAGTGCGAGTGTGGTGAGGCAACCTGGAAGTTGTGAGATGCTGAGAGAACATTCCTCCCAAATCCTGCACATCAAGCACCTCCTTGCCTCACCCCATCCCAACCCTAGGAGTCGTGGGAAACCTTATCCAGAGCAAAGGAGCAATAAAAGTTCTTTATGAAGAAGCCATTTCACTGTCATGCAGGGGTTACAAAACTTTTTTTCTATAAAGGACCACGTGGCAAACATTTCAGGTTTTGAAAGCTGGACAGTCTTTGCCCCAACTATTCAACGCTGCCATAGTAATGGGAAAGCAACTACAGACTACACATAATGAAGGGGTACAGTTGTACTGCAAATAAAACTTTATTTATAAAAATAGGGATCAGGTCAAGTTTGGGTCTCAGGTCACAGTTTGCCAACTCCCGTCGTGTGGAAGGAGTTAGCCAAACCTTAGGCTTAAATTCCAGACCCACCCAAAAATACAAACTCAACAAAATATCTGGATTTGAACATGCACCTCTGTAAAATGTGGTACTTATACTTTCCTCGTTGATTTGTGGGGTTTAGAGAAAATGCATGCAAAATGCTTCATAAATAATAGGCTTTCAAATAGGGCAATAGTCTTTTTCATTACAAGGCATAAGACAAATAATAACTAACACTTACTGAATGCTTTTCTGCTATACCAACTGCTGTGTAAAGCACTTTAAAAGACAGTTTCATTTACTCTTCCAACAACACTTGGAAGTAGGAGCTATTACAGTATCCCTTTCTCCTCATGGGGAAACTGAGGCACCAAGCAAGGTCCACGAGATGCTCACAAAGATAGTAAGTGAAATCTCTTTCACTTAATCCAAAGTGAACCGATTCCAGGGCCTCTGGGGCCAACCTCTGTGCTAACTAATTAACTCCACTAATTCAGCTCCAGTTGAAATGCTCAGAATCTTCTCAAGTTCTGCAGGGCTTTTCATGACTTATCACAGCATAACACAACTGAAAATAGATTATACACAACCTTTGGAAATTCACCTTTAGGTCAATACTCAAGTAACATTTTACATAAGTAAAACACTTATTCCAACCCACTTCCTGCCCATCTATTTCCACCCCTCCCAACAAAGATCTCCAGTTGAGGGAAACCAGAATAATACTGGAAAAGCTAATGGAAACCCATTTCAAAAAATGTATCCTACAATCACTCTAAAAACTTGCAATCTCAAAGCTACGCTGAAGAATAGCATCCTGGATTAATTATGCCAGACTGCAGCAATAACCTTGAATTAAAGCTGCAACCTTCTATTTTTAAGAAACACTTGCCTTTCTGGTTGATGAAACCTGTCGTCCCATCAGGTAACAGACGTGACCAGGAAAGAGAGAAGCGGTAATGAGTCAATCCAAGCTGTTTGATACATTTCAAATCTTCCTCCCACAGAGTGTAGCTGCCACAAGCTACATCGCCAGTCTGGTTCTTGAAAACTCTCTCTCCTCCCTGATGGGTGAATGTGTCCCAGACACAAGGGCCTTTTCCATCTGCATCCCAGCCTCCTGAGAAAAAGAAGAAAATGAAACCGTTACACTCTTGACATCAAGAGGCATATGTGGAATGTAAATATTTGTCACCAAAAGAACATCCCTCATTAACTCAATGTACCATATTGATAACTTTAAAATATGCCTTTAAAATAACATGCATGAGTGGGTTATGTGTTCAGCTGTCCTTGATCCCTGAAGCTGACTGGTGGCAAATGAAAAATTATTGCATAATGCCGCAGCATAGCAGGCTTTCACGGTTCATTATCTGAAGATCTCCCAGCTGGTAGACAGAGGCAGGGCTCAGTTTATGAGTGTCTGAATTGAAAACATCTCCTTCTTGTGAACATTTCTCCTGGCCCTGACAGACACACCTTATCCTCATTGTGCATAAAGCAGTCTTGGGACTCTATCTTTGACCCTTGACACCTGAATCCTATCTTCCTGTCATCTAGCCATGGAGCCTGAGATGGTCCAGTCAGCTATTGTGGGAAGGGTGTTAGTTCCTGCCATTGTTGAGATGATAAAAGTATCCTACATTCATTCATTCACACCTCCCTTAATTCAACACATGCTCTGTATCAGGCTCCAAGCTAAGCTTAGTGGATACCAGGGTGAACTCCACTGCAATTCTTGTCCTTGTCAATTACATGAAATTATAAAACAGCCAACGTAATGGTTCCTGCAAGAAAGCCAGGGAGAGGTGTTTATCCAGATGTGGGCAAGAGTCAGAAAATTCTTAGAGAAGACACTCCTAGACTGAAATCAAGAGGAGATGTTGACTCATCAAAGTGAAATGCTAGGAGGTAGGGGTTAGAGAAAATTAAAAAAAAAGAGGAGCTAGGAACAGAATAAGCCCAGAAGTAAGAGAGAACATCACACATTAGAGGGACAGAAAGCAAAAATTACATTAGATTTGAAATATCTGTTCACACAGAAATTTTGTCTAAAATGGAAGTTAGAATTCATTTTATGGTACAAACGATTGATTTTTTAAAATCTCATGACTCTTTAATTCCACTTCTAAGGGCATACCCTGAAAGTATGCTCATAAATTTTCACAAAAAGATTATATGAGATTATTGAGGAAGGGTTTTCTGTCACAGCAAAATCCTAGAAACAACCTATGTCCTACCAACAGAACAGATAATTAATTTTAGGTATATTCACAGAGAGGAAACACAAATAAGTTGTTACAGTGAATGAATCAGAGCATAGATAACCCTCTGCTCTGCTCTGACTGTTTGTGTCCCCCCAAATTCAGAGGTGGAAATCCTAACACCCAATATGATGATTTGGGGAGGAGCTTAAGTCAGGAGAGTGGAGCGTTCGTGAATGAGATTGCTGCTTCTAAAAGGAGGCCCCACAGCGCTCCCTACCTCCTTCTGCCCCGTGAGGATACGAGAACCCTGTGATGAGGAAGAGGGTCTTCACCTGGCCATGCTGGCACCCTCACCCCAACTTACAGCATCCAGAACCGTGAGGAATAAACGTTCGTTGCTTACAAACCCCCTAGTTCACGGTCTTTGGTTAGAACAGTCCAAATGGACTAAGACACCCTCAAAACTATAATGTTAAGCTAAAGAAAAAAATCAAGATTTGAAATACATAAACAGGAATGAATCCATGCAGCACGGGATTTTTATGGCAGTGAAACTACGAAAATTGTGCCTGCCTTTTCCTCTGGGCAGTGGGTCTGTTCCCCTAACCCCATGCTGCTCAAGGGTGGACTATATAATAGTGGATACATGACATTATACATTTGTCAAAACCCACACACTGTGAACTTCATTGAATAATAATGTATCAATATTCACCCATCATTTGGAACCAACGACCCACACTAATTCGAGGTAGGGGAAATTGGGGGAATGGGATACAGGAGAATTCTGTACTTTGTGCTCAATTTTTCTGTCACTCTAAAATTGCTCTAAAATATAAATGTTATTAATTTTTAAAAGATTATATACAGTACTGCATCATGTTTTATACAAAATATATAAAATCAAAGATGGATTTCCTGATCATATACATATGAGGTAAACACACAACAGCATGCCTGGAGATGATCAGCTCAAGCTGGTGGCTGCCTTTGGGTAGAAAAGGGAGGGAAATGGAAACAAGCAGCAGCCTGAGGGCCCTTGGCATCTCTATGTTTCACTCCTTAAGCTGGCTAACGGGTATCTAAGAGGCTGTTGATTACATTATCCACAACCATTTTTATATACCTGAAATAGTTCAAAATGACTTTCACGCAAGAAAGGAAGTCACAGCTAGAGTAAAGAGACTAAAACAATTATAGGAAAGTTTTTTAGGTCTACATTAAGCATTAACTTTCTCATATTTTGTGCACAATTCTGATAGGATTAGACATAGTCTCCAGACCAAGAAAAAGACAACATGCGCTATAATTTACAGGCGAGAACCATGGGGACACAGGAAGACTGCTAAAAGAAGGAGCTCTGACAATAGCAAAAATGACAGTTGATATCAAGGCAGAGTATTAAAGATCTATTCAAAGAAATTATGAATATTACAAATTATTATACTTTGGAGCCATATCAGACAGAGGCAAAAAGCTTTATACATCCCAATGGCTCTCAAGTTATGTCTATATATGGGATTTAGAGGGAAAAAGAAAAAGAATACTGATATTCAATCTTAGAATGAAATAGGTATGAATATTAAAATACAACTTCAGTGAAGCATGGTATTCACAGTTTGAATAATTGATTTACAATAAATGAAGAAGCTTAATCTCACAGAGTTTAGGCAGCTATGTGTTGGTAAATATTAACAACTGGTTGTATATTTTAAAACATATATACCATCATATATACCTATTTATTATAAATTATATTGGTATAGAGGTATATTGGGATAAAGGATGTATAATACACAATTGCCAAATAACAATATGCAATGTTCTTTACTGTATATTCCTTATAGCCAATTGATTCTCACAGAATACTTGTTTAGACTTTTGCCAAACTCTTATATGGGGAGCCAATCTACAATATACAACCTGACAAATGTGAGTAGTTCTCATGTAACTGTTGACTGGTATCTTTGCTTAAATTAACAGGTACAATGAAAGGAAAACGATAATATATCAGAATTTCACTTGTTCATCAGTGACATGAGCAATTTTCTTGCTAAATTGGTAATAGTTTTTAACACTGGAAGAATATTTCCTTGATTTTTTTGTCCTACTCACAATGTAACAGTTACATGCATACTACACATTCATTTACTCTGCATTATTTACATTTTATCTGCCACTTTCTTGAGTCCAGGCAACCAACAAAACAATAAATCAAATGCTGACTTATAGCACTTGCCAATTTCTGTGGTGTAAATACTTACACATGGCCAATTTCAAGCATCCGCTAGGATAGCACTGAAGGCAGAGTTGCAAGATGAACAATGGCATATCATTAGACAGTATTTCTTCTATACAGGTACAAGTAGCCTCAAGGGCATAGCTAATAATAAAATGTGCTAAAATAATTAGGAGATAAGGATTTGAATATTTATTATCTTTGTTTTTAATATAAATTATTTATTTATGTTTATGTCATTGAATCTTTAATACTGGCTATATATTTAAGAATCAGCTCATAGGGGATTTTCCTGGTCGTCCAGTGGTTAAGAATCCACCTTTCAACGTAAGGGACATGGGTTCAATCCTTGGTCAGGGAAATAAGATTCCACATTGCCGCAGGGCAACTAAACATGAGCACTGCAACTGCTTAGCCTGTGTATTCTAGAGGCCCAGAGCCACGGCAGAGAAGCCCAAACACTGAAGTAAAGAACCCATACACTGCAACAAAAGATCCTACATGCCACAACGAAAATCCTATGTGCTGTAACTAAGACCTCATGCAGCCAAACAAATTAAATTAAATTAAAAAGAATCAGCTTGTAAAATTAATGAAAATTTAACAGTGGGCACTGGTGAGCCAGTACAAGCTGGCCTCACATATCACCAATAAGTACTTACCTAAGACAACACTTTTCATTAAGTAGTAGAACCAAGATATGGGGACTTCTCTGGTGGCTCAGTGATAAAGAATCCACCTGCAATGCAGTAGCCACAGGAGATGCAGGTTTGATCCCTAGGTTGGGAAGATCTCCTAGAGGAGGGCATGACAATCCACTCCAGTATTCTTGCCTGGAGAATCCTATAGACAGAGGAGCCTGGCAGGCTACAGTCCACAGGGTTGCAAAGAGTCAGACATGACTGAAGCAACTTGGCATGCACAGAACCCAAGATGTGTTTCCAGACTTGTCTGATACTGAAATTCAAGCCCTTCCATTAGACCACACTGCTCTTAGTAATAAAGCCTGACTGATGAGTCAACTTATACCCATGCTACTCAATATATGAAGTGTTAGAAATGAATAACTTGACATGCATTTTGGAAGACAGCCCTTCTTAAGTGCTTACAGTAAGTTTTGACAATTTTAATAGGTCAACGTCAGCAGGAAAATTCACTTATGTGGAGTAGTTTATTCTAGGTGTATACTAGATGAAACATGTATAAGCAACATTGTTTCTATGAGAACCAGAACGTGAATCAAAAATTAACCATTATAGTTGAAATTTTGATAAAAGAAAATATATATAGTGGCCTTTTAAAAATATATATAGTATACTAACAATGAAAAATCATAAAGAGAAATTAAGGAATCAATTCCATTCACCATGCATCTGCCTGCAATGCGGGAGACCCAGGTTCGATCCCCGGATCCAGAAGATCCCCTGGCGAAGAAAATGGCAACCCACTCCAGTACTCTTGCCTAGAAAATTCCATGGACGGAGGAGCCTGGTAGGCTACAGTCCTTGCAGTCACAAAGAGTCAGACATGACTGAGCGACTTCACTTTCTTTCACTTTCCATTCATCACTGCAACAAAAAGAATTAAATATCTAGGAATAAGCTTACCTAAGGAGACAAAAGAACTGTACACAGAAAATTATAAGACACTGATGAAAGGAATCAAAGACAACAT